CCCACCCCTACCGTCTGTTTTTATTTCGAGTGCGTACGTGTATGTGTTATGTGTGTGTTTTACGACTTTGGTGGTGAAAATTTGAGGCGGTTCGCGGGTCGGGTCGGTACATATGGCCGCTATAGGCCCTCCTCCTCCTCCTTCCCGCCGCGCCTCGGGTCGGCTCGCGGGGGCCTATTGGGCCCGCCGCGCGCCGCTGGCAGACGTCCAACGCGTAGATATTTAGAGTCGGGGCGTCCTGGAGGGCCCCGCAGCAGCAGCAGCAGCAGCAGCAGGGGCCGCCCCGCTGGCCCCAGAGAGCAGGGGGCCGCCGCCCAGGCGCAGTGCGGGGGCCCCCAGAATGAGAAAAGACTTTGGCAGCAGCAGCGGCGGCGGCGGCGGCGGCGCCGGCCGGCGTATCCTTCGCTGCTCCCATACAGTCGCGCACACCACGCGGCGCAAGCTGTCAAGTTGCTCTGCTGTTGTTGCCGTCGTCACGCATTTTGGCGAGCGTGAGACACACTTGAAACACACATGTACTGTTCTGAAGCACTTACACGGCACCTTCTCGCGTTTTAGAGAAGGCGGGGCTCCGTCCGCCGGCCGCCGCCGCTCCCCGAAAAATGCAAAACGGGTCCACGTCAAGTTCCCCGGGGGCCGGGCCGGCGTGGAGCGAGCGACCGGTGCAGCAGCGGCAAGCCGTCGCCTCTCCTCACATCACATCAGGCCCCGCCCCGCCCCACCTTATCAAGGGCCGTATGTAATTTGTCTGCCACCGCCGCCAAGGCATATAATTGGCCCGGGCAGCGCGCAGCGGCCTTGCGTTTGCCTTCTATTTGCTCAGAGCAGCGGTCAGCCAGCAGCAGCAGCAGCAGCAGCAGCAGCAGCAGCAGCAGCAGCAGCAGCAGCAGCAGCAGCAGCAGCAGCAGCAGCAGCAGCAGCAGGCGGCAGCTTCCAAAATTGATTCCTGCCCTCCTGCTCGGAGCTGCGGGCGGGGCCGCGCGCGTCTCCTCTCCTCTCCCCACGTCACCGACGACGAGCAAAGGGGGGCCCTCGGCGGCCCCCGGGGGGCATCCAGGATGGGCGGACGAGGGGGCCGAGCCTCCTTGAGGCCCTCCGTTCTTCTTCACCACCAGAGTCCCTCCCTGGTCCCTTGGACACACACACTCATCGAGTGTGGTTTGACTTCACCCCAAAACGTCAGCGTGTCACACATAATGTTTTCAAGAGACCAAATCCCCCCCCC